TTGCAAAATGACGCATATGGACATCTTTACTTGTAAGCTTTGGATCACTGCCTACAAGGGTTCAGTTTTCATTATTGCGCTATTCAAGCAAAATATCATCTTATCGCAGAGTTGCATAAGACGCATTGCTGGAGTCAAAGACGTGGACTATAAGGAGTTCCTGACAGCATCTACAGAGCTTGAGGTCATGGAAACAGTGACAACAGTGATCGCTTGGTAAGGAAATTCCTTTGAATTATCTTCATCCGATACATGAAAGCTTGGACTACAGTCAGTGAGAAATATTAAAAACTAGAACTCATTTCTTTCTCATCGAAGTTCGAATCAGCACGTACTGTAATTCAATTGTGTTGTTTATCTCTCGCTCATTTGCTGACGGCACTTGAAGCCAAAATCCTGCCACTTTCCTTCTCACCCTAAAGTTTCTCATTAAGCGCCTTTGTTTATTTCTATGTATGCACTGCCATTTGTGCCAGTTTAATGTTTATTTTATATTTTGTGCCGAGCGAGCTGTTGGAAGCTAAGACACATTTATTAGCACAGACTAGCAAATACTTGCGATTCATGTAGGTGCAGCGAGTGGAAATTCGCTATTGCCATCGTATCGAGTCAATAAGTTTGACCTGCAAATCTTTCTTACTGTTTAAGTTTCTATTTCATGCTTCAACTGAGTATACGTTTAAATTTAGAGCGCAAAATTTCATTGCGTAACTGAAAAGATTGCATCATTCGTGTATTTCTTTTTGTCGCATATCTGCGTTGAAATAGAGAATATTTCATTCTCTTTCTCCCGAGTTTCTCTATGAACGCTTTGGTATTGCACATATTTGAGATATCGCGAACTTTATAATGATTTGGTAACGGAGCATGTATCGTATTATGTCGATGAAAGGATCATATTTTTTGACATCTTTATTGCAGTATGCCTGATATATTCTTGGGGTTTCTTGTTCCGATGATTAGGCCTGAATTCTAGTGATTCTTACGGTCATTTCGAGCGCTGTGGCACAGTGGTAAAAAAGGCTATTTGGGATTGCCCTTTGTGATGATTATTACACTAATCGGGTGAGTTCAGGTTAATTGCAGCCGCATGGGGCGTTCGCATCGGATAGCATGAGGTTACGCTTCTTTCATTCTGCCATGATCAGACGAGAATACCACGATGCTCCTTTTTTTCTGGTTACGGTGTTTCTATTAACTCATTTCTCTGCTTGTTGCGCCGAAGCATCGTGTGTGTAATTTCTTGCTCAGGAGAACTGGCATTTAAGACAGATTGTCTGCGGGAGGATTCGAGTCCGGCACCTCCGAAGTTCACAGCTGATTTCTTAGCCACTGTGCCGCCACGTCCCAAGATCAAAGTATAAGGTGGTTTCCATCGCCGGAGGTACCTTGTTCGATCTCGCTAGGAAAAGATGTTTTCTTAAGTACTGATTCTCTTGATCAGTGAATTCATCTGATGTTGTTTTGGTTGAACTAGTAGAAAAACGGGTAGCGAGTCGCTGATTTGCAAAGAATAGGTAGAGCATGATGTACTCTGGTCGTGCCACAAGGACAAGGTGTACGGTCATGCCGTATAATCAAGCGCCTTTATGTGTTATTGTGTGCTTTGACCTACTGACAACTGTTTATTCTGTTTGATCATCGTCAGAAGGTGTATTCCTTGTTGTCTAACCAGGGTGCGAACAAAATTTTCTGCATCACAGTGCTGATTCGATGAACATGCATGTTTATGGCACCAGTAAAGGTTTTGTGTCTTTGAACCCAGCAGCATTATATAATCATGACTTTATGCTAAAGATCTGTTAAAGTTGCAACGACTGCACAAAGTTTTCGGTACACTCTGTATAGCCGTCGAATACCAACTTGGTTAATATCTTATTGCCAGCGATGTTTTACCGTGCGCGTTGTTTATAGCCATGCAGAGCATCTCTGCTACTAAATTAACAGTAACGATCATTCTCTGAAGATTTGATGAGCCTCGTATTTTTATACCTTCAGAATAACTATCTCCAGAAACTGTTAATACTTAGTCTGCCTGTTGTCTAATCACATACTTGTCTACGGTGACGAGATTTTCAACACGAAGTATGCTTTCGTTCTGTATCGGGAAGGTGAAGTACATTATCTGCCGTTTATGTGTTTCATGCTGAACGAATTTTGCTATTCACCTATTGATTTTTAGCAGAATTGCTGGTCGATCCCATAAACATTGTAGTCAAAAAATCCTGTGTTAAAGTCAAACACATCCTTGCAGTGATCAAGTACTGTTTATTAGCTCAGTATTTAGCTCTATTGTACTGTTGTATGTAGTTGTTTCGTATATTAAGTTACCTAACTGCTTGAATGAAACGGTAAACAATTTTCATTTTCAGCAGTAAACGAAGAATGGAAATGCTACATACTTGCAACCTTTACGAGTTTTGCGCATTAAGGAAAAACTGGAACCAAAAGTAAACATAAATGCGTCAAAATTAGGTTGAAAATTAAATCAAAACAAGAGCATTTTACTTCAGATATAGCAGAACAGTCTCGCCGATTGTTATTCATGTTTCTGATGATTAAAGGGTGGATTTCTGGAATGCCATAGAGTGACAGTCGTAGATATATGCCAATGTGTTGTGACGTAGGGCAGACAATCCTGAGTGTGCTTCCTAACATCCTTTCATGTAGTTGATGTTGGAACCAGTGCGATGACTTTCATCTGCTGCCTGTTCAGTCCGATTAAACTCAAAACTAAGTTATTCATACAGAGGTCAACTTGTCTGGTTTTCGATTTAGCGATCGTGTGCAGAGTCAGAGTCATGACAGGAAGTTGTGGAAAAATAAGTGAAGTTGCGTAGTTAGAATGCAAAAACAACTGTGACTATTTTCTTGAATTCAACTGTCAGAGGGAATCAAACCATACATCGCTGTCTCGCTATTAGTTAAGCGTGCTGATATCTGGATACGTTTGATCGAAGGATGAAGCGTAAAAGCTTTTTGTAATTATCGAGGTGGTGATTGTTTCATACATGATTAACAGGGCAGGTGCTGTACACCGAGTAGAATGAGACTCCTGGCGATTTTCTCCTTGATGTACAAACATGTAGCATCTGTTCTCGTGTTTGTGATGAGATTATTAGAATTATTATCGCAGAGGTTGTTTATATGTTATTTACAGGTGACTTTCTGGATGTAAATGGTGCTTTACGTAAATATATGTTTGTAGCGCGTGATTAATATGAAACTGTCCTTTTCAAAAGAAAGACGGCTTTGAGAGAAGCATAGACGCAAAGGATATTCGTGCAGGTTTGCTCCACAGGTTCAAAGATATGCGAGGCAATTTCGAACATTAACAAACATTGACGCAAATGAACGTACAGTGCAACTTTTACTTATAGTGTTGTTCAAGAAATGTAAACCACGAAGTTAAAGAACGTAGCGTACGTTCTTCAAACTTCGATGACGCCTCTGTATAGACTTCAGTTGCAGCTGATCCATGAGGATAGGCATAACAAGTCGCTGACCAGTTTGCGTAAACATTGCATTCGTTTTCTGGAATACAGACAGTTTGCAAATGGCAGATGCTTATCAAGCGCAAGTCTCATGTCTTGAATGAAAAACGAAATGGTCATGACCTAGAGATTTGCATTTCATTATTCATAAGAAAAAGAACGGTCCATTTCTTTTCTTGTGTCGTAAAATGGATTCTGTGCCACAGCTGCAGACAATCAGTACGGTAGTTGGACGGTAAGCGCAAACATGTTATCTCAGGTTTTACCTGGTTCTGTTTTTTGGATTGCAGCTATTGTCATCAGCAGTAATTGCCTCAAACCTGACCATCCCCCCAGGGCATCAGGGCGGACAGATTATTGTAAAGTGGACGTTTCTGCTATGATATTTCTAGATTAAACTCGCGTCAGCGAAACGCAGACTTCCGTCTTACTCCATAATGATGCTCTACTCGACCTCATGTTTCACCAGTTATTGTAAATGGCCATTTTGAGTATGAAGCTCTCATTCATTTATCCTTTTCATTCAACTTTCTCCCTGAGACTACCCCCTTTTCAAGCACGACTACAATTTGCCTCAGAAAAAATTTCAAACCTCACAGTGATAGAAATCACGTCCAAGAAGTTCTTTTGCTCCTTCATCCAGATTTTTCTCAAATTTGTGTAATAAATGCGCTTGTTACTCGTTGGCAGATGCTTTGATTCCAGTGGAACCCATCTGCATAATAAGCTTTATATTAGCAAAGGTATAAGGTTTAGTTTGTTTGAATGATTGTGAACAGGGTTGAGCTGATAATGCTACGGTCCATGTAGCGAAATAAACGTTGCGTTGCCAATAAACTGTTCTACCGTATGTTTTATTTGGTGCCTTAAACCAGGAATCATTGAAACACCTATCGATGTAACTCTGGGTCCTGAATCAAAAACCTGAAGTATTATTTGTTGATGTAAGGTTTCGTTGCTGTGGTTAGAAAAATGAGAGAAGTTTCTTGACAGTCTTATGAATGTAACATCCACGTGTATTGATTATAGCGTATGACTGCTTTTGACTTCCTTCACAGTCTGTAGACCGGATTGTTTCCGTTTTGTTCGCCTACTTGATGCATGGAAATGGTGGGTATCATCTTCGTTTAAACTTCATGTGCAATGTATGTTTGTAACCTCCTATATTTTTAAAATAGATTTGACTCAGTGTGGAATTGCTTCGATGATGCTGATTATGTAAATAAATTATTCGTATGACAGTTGACGCTATACAGTATTGCGACACATTTGATCGTTACTTTCTCTTTTCTCAGTTTCTCGTTTTTTCTCATCGCTCCTTTGTTACTCCGTTCACCACAACATTGTGGTTCGAAGATCTTTGTCAGCGCAACCCGGCTATTCATTTGATTACGGTATGAATATTCTGTGAAATGGTTGTTTGATGATGTATCGATATCTGAATGTTTGTTTAGGCTTTCGGCGCACTTACGCCATTCAGAAATAGCAGAGAGTGAACAACCAGGAATGGCTGCTCAGGTTCCAAAGTTCTCAATAACTCTTGCTCGTTATGGTTGCGCAAATCGTCCCTTTTTTCACATTGTAGTATCCAAGCGGAAACACCGACGTTGGTCTGACGACGTAATCGAACAGGTGATTTTATGTAATTGATTTCATGCCATGTTTGTAACAAATGTTTGTTTGTTACCTGTGCCATTATCTTCCATGGCTAACAATGGTTGAACACCAGAATAATCCAGATATATTACTTCGTTTATGCATTGGTGATCATATGGAATACGGAAAACTGTGTGAAAACACAGTTTATTCGCTGCTTGTGTTGTGTATAAATAAACCGATATTTTATACGGCTTTCAGATTTATGTAATACCGTTAAATATGGTATTTAGGAGTAGTGTTAAGCCAGCGTTCACTGCTGCCGCCAATATGTAGTACTGAATGCACCAGCATGCGCTTATAAGGATATTTTCAGGGTTTATCTACTCATCCAAAGCGTCTACGCCTCGTTAGAGGTTCCCGCGCGAGGCGAGTTTTAAACGTTTCCCATTTCTAGCCGTGTGATGAATTACGCTAAATTTTCGGTCTCTGTCTTGTTTTAATAGTTTTCGCAGGCTGATGTATATCAGCTTCCGCTTATTCGTCATCTGGTTGTATCTTCGCATGCTGAGCTGCTTCAGGACAGAGCATTTTGAAGATGTCAAGAACAATTTAATGACGTTTCAGTTGAATGTTTGACTCTACTTTTTAGGTGAAGCGCCGTTATTCAAGTTGAAAGTTTATCTGATTAGGCTTCCTTGAGAGGACGTAGAATTCTATCAATGATAAGTTAACAGGAACTAGATTAGTTAAGATAATGTACGAAACAATTGAAATTTGCATTAAAGAACATGTCACAAAGTGTTTGGTTTATTGAAAGTCTCTTCCACGTCCCTGGTTATAATGATTTGCAGGTTATGATTCTTTTCCAAAAAGCAGCAGCTGCTCCATTCCTTAAATAGTGCCTTGCCTCGTTGCCTGAACATTAATCGGAATTAACCTGACCCTGTCCGACATTTCTGATAACCGTAGGTGAGGAATTTAATATTTTAGCAGGTGAAATCTTCTCTTTTGCATTACTGTTTACAGGCAAAATAAAGCACGTCAAAATATGATGCACGGTTGAGGTGACTACAAAGGAGAGCAAAAATGGCGCTCTCTGCAGCGACTGAACGCTCACT